ACTAAATGCAGAAATTCATACGAGTATAACTAGGAGCTGAACTGTTATTATGTTCGTTTCTTATCATTACTGGAAAGAACTTCAGTTTCACTAACTCCACTGAGCTAGCTGAGTTCTTCTTGAAAACCTCGTAGTTGCTCAGGCAGTCAAGAAATTCTTTGTATCTTCGTTACCGCGTATACAACAGCCTTCCACTGGTTCCTATCCTGAGCCAGATGAACCGAATCCACGTTATCATACCCTATTTCTTTAATATCCATTTTAATATTATCACTCCACCTATGTCTACGTCTTCCAAGTGGCATTTTATTTCAGGTTTTCCTACCAACACTCCGCATGAATCTCTCTCCTCTTCCATGCATGCCACATTCCCCGCCCATCTCATACTCCTTAACTTGACTGTCCTAATAATATCTGGCGAGGAGTACAAACTATGTAGTTCCTAAACCTCTCCGACCTCCTGTTGCTTCCTCTCACTTGGTTCAAAGATTCTCCTCAGCAGGCCGTTCGCAAACCGTCATTCTAGATTCCTCACTCGATACGAGACACCAAGTTTCACACCCATACAAAACAACAAGTAAAATTATAGCTTAAGTTCTATATTTCTGGACAGCAAGCGTGAAGGAAAAGGTAACTAAACTCAATGGTAGAAACCGCGATATTAATCTGCTCTCAGTTTCTTCTTGAGTACAATTTTGATTTCTTAATACCTTTCGAAACATTTGAACTATGCTATATTCCCGAAGGGTGCGTTACTTACTTCACTGTCAAAGCTTCTATAACTAACTTCCTATTCAACAGCAATCATTACAATATGCGAGACGACTGCCTTATCAGCAGTCTGATTCGTCGCCCATTCAGTGTCTGTAAAATACTTATATACCGTTTTCACTGACGTAAAAGGGAATTCACTTCTGGAGTCTTGGCACTTGCTCAACACTCTTGATGTAGTGGGAAATCGCATATTCACAACTGGCCTACCAGGTTGGTCGCTTTCAAACGAGATTCTTTCCGGCAACTTAAAGAATTCAGCTTCGTTTACAATTCCAGTAAGTCCAACTGATACTCCTGTCCTCTGTTTGTATTCTAAGCAGTAAAACAACGAATTGGCGTTTGTGTAGAGGCTGCCCTCGACATGTTATGTTCTGTTACGAGCTTGACGTGGCCCGGGTTCTGTTCTGACTGTGCTTCTTCTCCTACTGTGACGGGATAAAAAGCCACTTCAAACAACATCTCGATTTTAAATAATGTTATATGGTATTCATAAGCAAAGACATAACACGTATGGACATAAATTCATTTGTATTCGGTCTCAGATTGTCTGAATACTGGGGTCACGAATTCGAATACCTCCTACGTCATACATATAGTATATATATTTGATTGTCTTTGTGTTCCGCATCTACAGAAGCCTTGCAATTGCCGATCCTCCATCCATTGGGTTATAACAAACATGTAAAAGATTCACAGATACAGAAATTAATTCCGTGTAGGAAGAACGCCAGAGGGTCAAATTCACGGTAACTAAAGGAAAAAAATAAAGAAATGAACCTTACGCAAAACGCGGTAGCATTACTCTAATCACTTCTCTTAATATCAAAAAGCAGAGAGGATAAGGGCAGAATATTCTGTTTCTGTCAGTTTCAAGCAACAGACAACTATCAGAAACTGTTACTTCTCGCCACAAAATGGAAGAAAAATACCAGGACGACTTTTAGGTTTTCAACACAGGGCCTAGCCAACCGATGGCAACACCGCCGATAGTAAACCCCACGTCTTCAAACGGTAATAATGTTTTCAACACACCCGATGCTAAGAACTTTGGTTACGAAAATGCCAATTACTCGTCTACTCTTCTCTACAGTCAACGATGAACCGTGGCTTCTGCTTTATAGTTTCTTTAGTTCCTTTGGCGGGGGATAAGCCCGTCGCAAGTCCACTACCTACAAAGGCCAACACAAACACATAACAAAACGCTAACATCCATGCTTCGAGTGGGATTCGAACACACGGTCCCAGTGTTTGAGCGGATGTAGACAATTTGTGCCTTGGGCAGCGCGGCCAAAGTGATCGGACATTCACTCTTCTACCGATGTTAAAATTTTAGCTCAGTTTCACTTATGCAAGAGTGACGATATTGTAAATACTTGGAATTCTAATCCTATAAGAAACGTCTACACTGTTATGCGATTTTCTTGCTACTGAAAGCAGAAAACATTAAACATCCTTATGTCCGTGCTGTCAATACAATAACAAGTGAGTTATAGTTCAAAAAATAATTTATTTGTTATTCATACTACTGAATTTATTGCACCACAGAGAAGCATAAAATGTTTGGCTATAAATCACGACTGTGTTGCAACGAAAACTATTTCTTCTGTTAGTTCACTATCACAACCAGCAAGATGGAAAACACTAATGTAGGTAAATAACTCTCTGGTAGTATTGGTAATTCGGCACCGCTAATACCAAAGCCCGCCGTTAGGATCCTGAGCCGGTTCCATCCACCTCCTGTCTTCATAACCCTCCCTAAGGTCCCCTTAATGTTATCTTTCCACTTCTTTCTCGGCCGTATCAACTGAATATTTGCCAAGATATTTTTCTATCAAAACAATGAATATATTTCTCGACATCTTAGTCACATGACTTGCGCCAGATTCCACAAGGTGACATGTGTAAGTTCCTCGTTATGTCGTCGCAGGCCTACCTTAAACTGTTCACTTCATCATTCGTAGGCTCGAATACTTTAGTAAGCACTTTGTTTTCAATCACTCGTGATGTACGCTCTTCTGTTGAAAGCAAGAGACCGCGTTTCACACCAGCAATAACCAACTGTTGAAGTTGCTGTTTGTACCCTATACACTGACTGTTACACCGATTTTGGAACGCGAACCGAACATTAACAAGCATTTCTAAAATGTATAAAGGTAGAAAAAAAAGGTAAAGCTATCCCTATAATAGGCCGTGGAGGCCCATAAGGTTGTGAGACATCGAGGCTCCCATATTTTTTAGACGATAGACTCATAGATGGCGGTGAGGTTGTCATCCTTACGTATCGGCCGACCTCCCCCCCCCCGCCCCAGAAGATTCCTGGTACTCATTTCTGTTAGAGGCTGAGTCGATCCCAGGGCCATAGTGCGGCTGGAAGGATTTGGTCAATTGAAAACTCCAATGACTTCATCGGGAATCGAACCCGCGATCTTCAAGCTTGTAGCACGGTGCCTCAACCAACTACGCTATCGCGTGCCCCCATTTATGAAACGTATTCTTCTATTAATTTTACCACAGGGCTGTGAACTTATGCGTCTATTACTATTACTGCGTCGAAAACTGTTCTTTATTTCAGCGCTCCATTTTAATATCTACAATAAGTCTTTTACAGACGGAGACTGCGTGAGAAACGAAATATCTAAATAGGCCTATGCATACGTGTAACTAATTCTAGATCAGCACGACTTGATATATCCGATAATCCTCGGCACTCCAGTGCGTATGTGAAAAGTTTACCACAGTGGAACATTTTACGAATTAAACGCAGTGAAAGCGAGAGGCTAACAGAATTAAATATGTAATATCTAACTACTACAATAAAGTGTTATGAAAGCCGTGACTAGTGTTGAGCAACTGCTTGGCTTCTAAGAACAGCTCCTGTTAGAACTGAGCCGTTTGCAACGCGACAGACGAGAGGGGAGAAACACACAAGTTCTTTGTGCGAGGATTGTATTGAGCATCAGCACCAATCAATAACGGAAATTACTAGCGTTTCATGAGTCATCAGTTAAAAACAGCTAATCACTGATGGAAATCTGCATGCAATAAAACGACTCTCTCCAATCCACTACCAAACAGGACATTTCAGTTTTATTATCCTGAAAGGCTGAAGAATTCACAGAGAGACCCTAGCCACTTGTAACAAGCTTACACCTCCCAGCAACGGGCACAGTTAAAAGTCTGCAGCAACTGAATAGTCTCTTCCATTCTACTGAAGAAATATTAAAACACACAAAAGTGACTTCCGAGAATCCGGGCTCTACTACTGTTATTCGTTTTATATCCCCGTAACACAGCAAACACTACAGACCCAATAAAACATTAGTTCGTCACTGAGTGCCTCTTATCCTAACAATGGGTTTACGATTTCTGGCAGAAAGGCAACGTGAACTGAAAGAAATCCGTAACGATTAACTTTAACAGTGTTACAAAGATCTCTAATCCACAAGTCGCTACGAATGTTCGCTCTACAGAACGAAATGATTTTGGCGCAACGCACAACAATACGAAACATGGCCCTCTAAGAAGTACACGCGACCCCAAAGCGAAGACACGGCAATGTCAACCCTACACACTGGGGGATGAAAGTTGTCTTGAAAACACGTCCACAAGCAGACATTGACTTTCTGTCCTCAGCGACAAGTAATGCAAATTGGATAGCAACTAAACGCAGTAAAAAGATAATTACATTGGCAGTAACTTCACAGGCACACGGCGGTCGCTCGGTCGGTATAGTTTGCTTGCCGATTCAAGCCACGGAGTTTGTTTCTTCTATCTCAAATTCCGGTATTTTTATGGCCGTTACAAGCAGCGGTCGCCCGGTCGGTATAGTTCGCTTGCGGATTCAAGCCACGGAGTTTGTTTCTTCTATCTCAAATTCCGGTATTTTTATGGCCGTTACTCGTTTGTATTATAATTTACTTCTGTAGTGTAATTAGCACAAATAAAGAACACTTATGTTCAGCTTCACTGCGCATTATTCGTTTCGTCTGATTAATGTGAATCGTTCAGAAATTTCAATCTTCACTTCTTAGCAACGTCGTCCGAACAGTTCCAGCATAACGACGGCCTGGAATACAGTTACACGATCCCGGTCTATTAACGTACTGTTTGATTGTACACAAGACACAGCTCTGACCTAAGAATTGCCGTACATACGCCGTGATTGTCGGCACTTATCGGTGTGTGGAACTCTTTAAGTTACAATGTAACACAACCGCTGGGCTTACCTGCTGCCAGAATTGCGCCAGCAGGTAGATCCTTTCCTTCTTAAAAAGCCAGTCCATGGATTGCATTGCTTGGATGTCCATGTTCGACACCTCCTCCGGTCCTCCAAGAGGAAGACGATATGACCACCGGAAGAAACTGTCTTTTGACACTTCTATAAATCCAATCGCCACAGCCGCATCATCTGGAATGGCGAACATTGAGGTTCATTCACACGACATAAATCACACATAGAAAACTACAGCAGCTGGCCTATCTCTAACCACTTACGAAACTCAATATTGATATGTCAGGTTATAGAAGGCAGGGCGTAATAATTGCATCTAGTTCAGTACAGAGGGAAAAAGATGTTTTGCAAAATGATTAATCCACGTTTTAAACTATCGCAAAAAAAACAAACAATTATTTTAAAATTATTGATTTTCGTATTTATTAGTCATTCATGCTACCTCGTTTTCGCTGTAACATTTGGAAGTCTGACAATTGTTATTCAATGGTGAATCTGCGAGAAATAATTTTCGCTGTTCTTCCAGTTTCGGTGACAGACCACAACCCTCTTTTGCTGTATATAAACATGTCTTGCATCATTTTGGGTTCCTCTCTCATCTGTTGGTGATGGATTATGTCAAGTTCTCTAACATGAGTCCACTAACTATCCCAAGCGGAGTTAGGTTTTCTTGTGAAATGTCAGAAAGTTTGTAATGTGACAGTCCTTTGTGGGTGGATGTTGAGATTATCAGCGGTTTTATTCCCAGAGCCCATCACTAAATGAAACATACACACATGAGAATGCTTGGCACTATCCGGCTAAAACTTCATGCGTTATTTTTCTTATAACATTTTTTTTACTGTTCCTCCTTTTTCGTTTTGTATTATGAATTGCGTGCATAGTTCGGGTTCGAAACGCTGAATGCTATCGAAACGAGTTCCCGACACGCAAACGCCAGGAACTTGATGCCCCTTCGTCAGTTCGGTTCTATAATTTTACTTTGATTTTCTTCGTCTTTCTTCCTCCTCCGTGTTCGCGTTAACTTTCAATACCCATGCAGTTCTTTTATGCGCTAAAATCAGACGTAGATACATTCTTATTCAGAACAAAGTTAACGCAAGGAATAGTACGTAATTGCGGGAACAGTAAATGAATTTTTTACATGAAAGTTTACGAAAATTATTACACATTCTTTATCTTTCTTGTTATTTTTGAATATTTCTCGTGAAAAAAAAAATACGTCGGTTGATTTCCTCTGTCATTCCCTCTATTTAGACTTGCTTCAATTTCTCACCCCTTTCGTAACTACCCCAGTACACGTACATGTGTGACAACGCTTAAGAGTTGGTTCTTAATAAGGATTTCATCCCCCATTTAGAGTAAGAAACCAGACAACAAAAGTCGCTATTTATAAACTTGACACACGCACACACGAAGCGACACCGCAGCTCCAACAGGACGACTATACTTAATGATTCCTGGAAAACCGTCGGAAAATATCAAACAACCAACCCCTCTCAGAGTGTCTGATTACACTTACAAGACACTGCGTACAACACGCCAATTCTTCGTTAAGTCCCATACATCTCATTATCGGGAAAATAACAGCGCCGTTAATTGGATCGAAATTTAAATTTTGTTGTGTTTTGATATTACAAACTAACATTACTATTCTCAGTACCTAAACCATTTCAAACGTGCACCGTCATACTCGCCACTCCGTTCGGGACACATCCCACTAAACAACACTTCGTTAGCTAAAATCGCTGCATACTTGTACAACATAACACATACCAGGAAATAACTTCTCGAAAACACTTAAATAATCAGAGTGACGTGACGGGAACGGTTTGTCATACGCTCCTACAGAGCATATCTCAACTGTTGTGTATCGTGTAACATCTGTTCCGACTACAAATCCTGAATGTGCACCATCAGCTGTTCTAATAGGATGAATCCTACACCAACTGCTGACGAGATACCTGCAGTTGATATCCTATTATCCACTGTGTATAATGTTCGTGTTGTTATCTAGACACTTTGGTACTTCGCAGCCACCGAATGCTTCTAGTCACATCAACACTGACAACGGAACTTAATAACAAACCATTTTCCCACTATAATACTTCGAGCTGGAAACTCTTCATGCAGGAATACCGACGTTCACTTCATCACGCTGTTGCAGACAATGTCCGGCCTGGCAAATAACAACAATCGTGTTTCGGAACTAAATAAAGAAAAACGAGTCCCTTGAATTCACAAACACCACGACACACGGCACTTGATATTTACTGATAGGGGGACGTGGTCCTGGGCTACGTACCTCCCGACAGCCACCACCGTCTTCGTCGTCGACGTATCTTCCTACAGACGATGATGAAGACGGAGAGATATCACCAAAAATCGCCCCAGCAACAACAGTCACCGATGCCATTATCATGAGGGCGACATTTCACTTTCTTTCACAGGTTTACTTCCAGGGAGTCCTTCCACTTGCCCACAATGATACAAAACACTTTGTCCTTATATTTCGGGAGGTGAAAACAGAAAGCTGCAAGTAGCTACAGTTCTTGGGTGTAACGACTTTTGATTGATAGAGGACCCTGTAATATAAGGGCCTCTTAATTCAAACACGACGAGTATTCCATTCTGCACTTGTACACACGTGACGTCAAAAATATATCCTCGCCCACGTGTGCTAGCGTGTGTATTGTCCTCCGCAACCGCTCAGCACAAATCCCTCCCTCAGACTGACTGACATGTAGTCTCCGAGCTACGGCGCGCACAGCCTGACCGAGTGGGGGCTCAGCGGGGAAGGGGTGCACGAGAGAGGCAGGCACACAGAAGAAGAAGACAGAGAGCCCCCCCAATATATTCAAGGGACAAATCCTTCAGCAGCAACAGCAAACTCCTCTCTCTCCTTGCAGCGAGCACTGCTGCTACTGCTCCGCCTTTTCCAAGAGGCTTGCTGTACAGAGCTGCCACCTTGCGGCTGAGAAAGGAAGCTTACTACCACAATCGTAGACCCCAAAGCCTTTGCCGCACGCGGGACCCAACCAATAACCTACCAAAAGGACAGGCTGGCGTCAACGGGGAAAGGAGGGAAAGTAAGGGGTGGGGAAGAGATCAAAGAGGTAAGAGGGAGGGGAACACAAAACGGGCAGTAGGAAGAAAATCGAACGATAGCGCAGGGCCACCTCAGCATTGTATGTTACGCGCATAGTTTTTCTCTTTCCTTCAATCTCCAAAACCTGCGCCCAGTCTTGTATGTCTTTTTACCCCTTTTTTCACTTCACTCTCTCTTTCCGACACACAGCAGTGCCTCGGCCCTCCTCTCTGCCCTGTTCTCGACGGGCAGGCGCATATACGCGGGGGAGGGAACAGGGGGCGAAGTGTTGACCACCTCATGCGTGTATGTGTGCACGGTATGGTCCCTCCGCCAACTGCCGGCTTTGGCGGGCGGTGAGCAAGCTACCAGCCGGCAAAAGCAACTTCCCTCCCCGACGCAGCTCACTAAGCGTTCGCGGCAGATGCAGCCCCATCGGCCGAGGAATCTCCGTCGCCCCGCGCGCGCTCCCAAATTACAACAATATACACTCGATGCGAGCTGTTGCATCGGTGACCAAAGCGGAGGTGGCGGCAGGACTGCACTTACGACACGAGAGGAGGAGGCAGCGGCGGCGGCATTCCGTCAGTGTGTCAAGCGCCTACAACGCCCGAAATACCACCCGCGGCACACCACAGCCTAACGTGAGTTACAATCCGCTGTCTCCGTTACTTTACTAACGACTGCAATAATCTTGACTTCCATAACCATGAATACAACAGTGCCTGCTTTCACAGAATACTTTCCCACAATTAGTATGAAAAGAGAATTTTGGGCAGACGCATGTGTTGGGATCATTGTCACAGTGTTGAGTGCAGGGGGGAGGGGGGGCTCACAGGTCCTGTTCCTGCGTGCAGGATTCTCTTCAACTTAATTACACTTGTTGTAATGGTTCTATAATAACAGTATTTTGGAACATAATGAGACAATGTTATTTTACATTCCGTATTTGTAGGAATAGAAAACAGGTTACGGGCTGATCGACTGAGGAATCGGGGTTCGATTTCAGATACGGGTAAGAGATCTTTCTCTCCTCAACTGAGTCGGCTCTGTGATCCACACTGCATCCTATCCAATGGGTATGGGGCGATAAAGCGGCCGGTGAGTAAAGCTGACCGTTCACCATCTCGTGCCGAAGTTAAAAATGAGTGGAGCTATTACCTCCACTCCCCATACACTTTCATGGCGTGATGCCTAACTAAGTACTGCAACGTGTCTAGCATTTTATTTCGGGAAAGGATGTTACGAAAAATCAGTTAAGAGGCGTTGAGTTGTATTATACATAACAGATTCTGCTGATATTGTCGGTTCCTTCAATACAAGGTTTTTTTCTAATCATAGTGTTTACACGGAAAAACACTGGAATGTTTATTATCTCTCTCAGCTATTTCAAGACATTTGAATCCGCCCGTTTCTCTCAATATATACTTGATCTCTCGTGTTTCGTAGCGTATCTACGCTACACGAAATGGGATACTCTGTTCTTTCTAGGATCTTTTACACATTACGTAAAATAATTTCAAAAGGACACAGTGACTTGAGGCTCCTAACTATTTGGGCTGCAAAATCTTTGCGTACAAACGGTTAAGAACAAGTAAATCCATTCTGAGGAATTACTATTCAGTGAAGCTTTAAATTAAATGCATGTTGGGTGGGGGGGNGGGGAACTGGATATGTCTACATCGTCTCGTATCTGTTTCTGGTTATGCACTGTGGAACTGCTTTTATGTCACACAGATATGCCATTCTTCGAGAGTTTCCAGAATGAACTCTTGAGTTCTTGAGAAGCCACTAGTTGCTCAGCTACTCAAGGCTTTCCCAACCCATTTTATGAAACCCGAAGGTTCATTACCGTGTTCACATGACCCCGCCACTGGTCCCTATCCTGAGCCAGATGAATCCAGTCTATATCATCCCATCCTATTTCTCTAAGATCCATTTTAATATCATCTTCCCACATACGTCTATGTCTACTTAATGGTCTCTTTCAATTTGGCTTTCCCACAAAAATCTTACATACATTACTTTCTCCCCCATGCGTGCTACATGTCCTGCCCATTTCATTCTCGTTGACTTTATATTTGGCAGTTCGTGACTAGATTTTACAAACGCATTAAGACTTAGAAATGAAAGTGCAAGTGTTCGAAGTTAGAAAATAAGTAACAATGCTGTCATTTAAATCGCTTGCAAGCCGTCACATAAATGCCTTTATAATATTTCAAGAGCCGTAGTCATACAAGGCCATCAGGTGACCGTATATTGTATTCGTTTATCGACGGGTGCTAAACAAGTTTAGTTATCCTTTGTAAAAGGAAAAGTAATTTCAGAAAATAAAACGGTTGCTTATGAGATCGGGGATCAGAGAACTTCGCCTCCAGATCAAGAATTTGGGTTCGATTCTCGCAAAATGCGCGTGAACAAGCCTGAGTGCGAAGACTTTCTGGAATTTCTTCCTTGTCATTGAGAGCTGGGCTACTTTCTTACCTGATAAAATAACGATATTGTAGACGAATATTTATATTAAAATGTGTATTTCTGTGTTTTGGTTTCTTCTTAAATAATTTCTTCGTCCCACAAACCTTGTCAGTTTCCCTTACGGAATGTTCATTTAAGATAACAATATTCGAAATGTCATTGTCAATCCGATCTTACGAGTTCGTAACTTTCTAATCTGCAAAACCTGCCTGCTACAGTTGAAACATTAACTAATAGTTTGGTTAAACATCGCTTTTATCTACAGCTTAAATAGAATAAGTTAAAGACTGATTTTAATTTATAATTATTTTAAAATTAATTACCAAAAAGCGAATTTTATAATGTAGGTCTATTACAGTTCTCTCATTTGCTATACCGTCTCACACTCTTCCGAGTGGTGAAGGTAGCTGAAGGAAACTGTAAGAACTTCCTCTAATATGACGCACTCCTCTCCGTTGTAATGTAACAGCAGATTACAAAAACACTGTCCATAGTATCTAGATAATAATTTTGTGGGTGACAAATAATACATATACCTACAGAATTTTTGACAGGAAATATTTTGGGGACCTGTTACATTGATGAACGAAATTAATAAGGGAGGATAACACTGAGATCGATATCAGGAAAATACGTAAATCTAGTGAGGATGCTATATGTGTAGAACTGGCATAGGATTGTGTCCGGTAGCAGGGTTCGGCATTATCAGTTTTAAGTCTTCGGTTTCTGATAGTAGAGAGTTGATTAGGTTTGAATTCCCCCTCTCCAGTGTATGAAAAACTCGCCTTAGGCAAGTAGACAAGGCTAGTTCTACATTTTAAGTTATGTGTGTGTTTGTGTGTGTGAGAGACATATATATATATATATATATATTTGATAGCGGACACGCGGTAGCATAGTTGGTGAGGCACTATGCTACAAGTCGGAAGGTTTCGGGTCCCAGTCCCGATGAGGTGGATTTTTTCAATTTACCTAATACTTCCAGCCATACTATGGCCCTGAGTTCGACTCAGCCTCTAACAGAAATGAGTACCAGGAATCTTCCTGGGGGGTAAAGGGCGGCCGGCGCGTAAGGCTGACAACCTTACCGCCATCTGGAAACCTATTGTCTAGAGAAAATATTGGAACCTCGACGTTTCACAACGCTATAGGCCTTCACGGCCTGTTACAGGGATAGTTTTACCTTTTTATTATATTTCATATGGAAGCTAGCCTATATGTATGTTTGTGTTTGTGTCATCTAATCAGTCTTCATTTGAACGCACAACTGATAATTTTTCTCATTTTTACTCCAGCTAAAACATCAGTGATGTTCTAAAAGGCACACATCAGAACTTGAGGAATTTCTCGATTTCTTGTTCATGATGTAATATTACTTAATCTTAGCAGCCAGAGAAGAATTACGTCAGTTATTGTTTTCTGTTCTGTCACCAGGACGCGTGTTTCAACTGAAACATCATTGCCTCGCATTTCCGTTTATCGTATTTATTAGAGGAATTCACTTCAGATCAAGGTGATCGACAATGTTGATGATCAGCCGAAATGTGTTGATGTTCGTTGTGAAATGTTCGCTGAACCAGTGACGTGAGCTGCTGAAGTATGCAAGGTGTCAGTGGCTACGCAGGATTCCAATGACAAGGAATTAAAATATACGGTGAACAAACAAACTCTCCGATCATGTTTGTAAACTGTAAGTTACATGCTTATAACAATCAGTGCTGCAATCGATTTCGGTTACAAATACAAATAATACGTTAGGTAAAAACGGATTACTAAATTTAATCTGCCTTCATTTAAAATGATGCATTTTTCTTTGCTTGTAATATACTTCCATTTCGAAGTACATGTAGAAAGAATTGTGGAAATGAGAAATTAAAGCAGAATTGTTGTAGCATAATCCGAAGAGAAATTACGCATAATTTTTTTACATTGGGTCTACAGCCCCCTTGGGCCCTGACCTCTGATTTCCAGTTTCATGATCATTTTACAAACGGTAAGACTCCTTGGACGAGAGAGCAGATCGTCGCAAGGCCTCTGCCTAAACACAGGACAACACAAACATAGAATAAATATATAAACAAAATAACTCCATGGTTTTAGTCCGCAAGCGAACTATACTGAAAGTAGAATAAACATATACACATCCCAAAAATCCATGCTTTCTGTGGGATTCGAACACACGATCCCGGCTTCTGAGCGAGCGAGGACAGTGCGTGCCTTAGACCGCTCGGCTACCGTGACCGGCGTTACGCATAAATAGGAGGATAATATTAAAATATGCCTTAACAAATATGAAATGGGATTGTGTGCTGGACTAACTCAGTACAGGTTCGGTGGTCGGTTCTTGTAGCACGTTAACGAGCCTTCGGATTTCACAAAGTATGGAGAATTTGTTGACCAGCTGCGCGATCGTCAGCTTCTCAGTAAAGATTCTCATCCATAGAGTATATTATACGCTTATATTTCCGTGCCAAATATTAAACCCTTAAACACTTTTAGCAACAAACGATGTCAAGATTGAAGAAAGCAGTCTTTTTGGGAAGTGACGCCGTGTAGATATTGTGCTAACCGACGTTTCGGAGGAACGTACTGCTTCAATATTCAGAGTAGAAGACAAGAATAAATCCGCGAGCGAACCAGCGTGAGCAGGTCCTCAGTCTGTTGCACCTGCTCACCCTGGTTCGCTCGCGGATTTATTCTCGTCTTCTACCCTGAACATGGAAGCAATACGTTCCTCCGAAACGTCGGTTAACACAATATCTACACAGCGCCATGTCCCAGAACACTGCTTTCTTCATAGTCACCGCCGTGAAAACCTCAAATCATACACGATGAGAAGTTTGATTACTTTTTACTCACGCTAGCAATCATCAAGTACATTGTTACTGTGAGGAAAGATGAACGTGGTTCTTGATCGAGATATCTCGTTCGTAGCATGGATGAGTTTAAAAACTGGAATAATTAACACTTATTCCCTTGAAACCATCTGTTATTTCATGTTACCGAGAATAAACCTGACAGTTCATTTATTCGATATTGTCTATTGCAGAAGGAATTCATTCATTAGCCTGTAATTAAGATGAATATGATTAATGTACAGAAGTTATTTCTTACACTCATACAAAGTAATCAGATTAAAAAATCTTTGAAATTAACATTAAATAAATTG